CGATTAGTGTTGCGGACACAATTATAAAATAGTGATATAATTTCAATGGTACAAAATATATTTAAAAGAATATATATTGGTATAATCTTTTACAACAATACAAAATAACTACGAAGGGACAAGGTAAAAATATAATTACCTCCCATGATATATATATATATATGTATATTATTTGCTCCAAGGGCTGCATCTCTGGGACCAGTGGTGGTAGCACCGTTCGAAATTAAGTCAATGGTAGGGGTAGTATGCTGGGGTACTTAGTAGCTGGAAACGTGGGGGTGGGGGAATAATAGGGGTAATGGGGGTTGTTGAAACCGGAAGATTGGGGGCTGTAGTTGAGGGGGTAGGGTGGTCTTGGGGAATGGAAATTTGGCCGATATGGCCGGGGTGTTTGGTGAGGTATCACAAGGGTAGGTACGATTATGGTGGGTGGGGTAGTCAAGGGTAGGGTAATAGACAGGAAATCAGGGGGTACGTAGAACACAAACAGGAGTAAAATACGGGGTAGGTATTTGAGTATGGTGGGGGGTGGGGACTGCGAATGATTGTTGTTCTTTGGCAGTTGATGCGCAGATCGACTGAAGTGGAGGATGGGAGGCGATGTTGGAAATGACGGGGTGCAGAGGATGCGATGGGGGAGATGAGGAGAATAGGAGCATGGAGAAAGAATAGAGCAGGAGTTCAAGAGGCAGGAGAGGGAGGGAGGGAGCGTAAGGGCGAGAGAGAGAGAGACGGGGGACACAGGAAAAGGATCCACGATTGCACAAGATTGATTTCTGACTGTGAAAAAAATGGTCTAAGAGTATTAGAAACCATTCTTATGTATGAAAAAACGCTTGTGTGATTGATGTGTCAAAAAAAAAATTCGTGTATATTGAACAACTTCTCTGTGTCTGACACGAAATTGCGACGTTGCTGTTTTCTTTTTAATTTTGACATTTATCGTGCAGGCGACCTGAGGGAATTGAGATTCTTTGGTTTACAATACCATAACAGCTGTTGAACCATTTCAAAGATCTGGTCAACAGTTTAGGAGCTTGGTTGGACCAAGCGGAGAATTCATGAGAATCGGATTGTCTTTCAACGGTGGGTTCTTCAGTTCTGCTGCTACTTAGACACATCCCGACAATAGACAAGGAAAGGCAATAATTGGAGGGGCTTCATGGTTCATTGGAGGCCCAAGTCAGCAAAAGTATATCCGATCCAACTGGACTGCAACATCTTGGAATTTTCCGTTGTTAAAAACAATAAGGGTGCCCACGAGTTCTCGTCAAAAGTTCCTCATCCAATCGGTCTTGATGGAGAAGGGGCTGGAACGGGAATTGGAGGAACAGGAGGAGTGCAGGGAGGAGGCAAGGCAGCTGTACCTTTTGCACGGTCGCATTCGTGTCAAATGCCCTTGCAGTCAAAAATCAAGTGAGTGACTCCACGAGCAGCTCACTCGTGCTGACCTGACTTGTTTGCAGGCAGAGTGAGGTCGCGACGACGACTCGACCTGCCTCGAGGCAGTTTCAGCACAAGAGAGGCTCTGTGAGAGGGGCTGTAGGCATCAGTGTCATGAAGCAGCTCTTCTTCGGCTCCTGATCCGCTGGTGTTAGGATCCGCAAAGGGACCGTGAGCCATTGCGAGGGTTGAGTTTTCTTTTGCTGTGTCCTGCCTTGATCAGCGGTGCTATGGCTTGGATTCACCCCATTTCTGGCTGCCCCTGGCATGGTCACACAATTGCTGGCTCCTGGGGGTGCGCCTCTCTTTTTCTCTAAGTCATTTACGACTGGCTCACCCTCCCCTACCGCATTTCTTGTTGTGATGGGGCAGGAACCCTCCCGAATCTCTTACTCCTTCTCTCCTTATCCTCCTTCCTCTTCCTCTCCTTATACTCCTTCTTACTCTCCCGGGCCTCCTCCATCGGCTGGTGTGCCATGCTGATTGATGGATGTTGATCGAAGTCTTGAAGGACGTTTGGGTCAACATTAGAGATGAAAGCACTTCGAGATGCCGGAAAAGAACATCTCGAGGCCACCTGTTTGGATGCAATCTTGTATTGGCTTGTTGGTTGTATCGTGCTGTGTTGTGTTGTGTTGGCTGTTGTGGTGGGAAGTCGAGGAAGTTCATCGATCCCTTTATTTCAAGCACTTGTGCAAGTCAATCTGAAGCCAGGTTTGACTAGGCAAGGGAGGAGAGAGATGGATTCGAATCCCAACAGGGGAAGATGAAGCAAAGATCGTCAGGTTTGAGATCGACGCCTTTGCATTCGACGTGTCAGCCTCATTCAGTCGTTTGAACATGCAACCTACATGACAAAAATGCGGGAGGGGGATGATGATATCTTTAGTTAGGCTTGACTATTTTGATGTCAGCGATGAAGTATCATGCTGAGCTTGATTTGATAATGAATCAGTTATACAAAGTTTGACCACACCGCGGATTTAAGTGACTTTCGAACTCGGAAAGCGCTATGCGCAGGTTTTGTGATCATTGAGTGGTAACAGGCTACCTGAACCCGGTCAGCGGACACCGGGCGGCCGCCGCAGGCTCGTACATCGACGGTGGCGGCAGTACGGTGCTCCGCCGCCGGTACAGAATCAAGTAACATTCAAGTAGTAAGCTGAGCATCATTGGCACTCCTCAGGGCCGGGCCGCGCAGGCCGGGCCCTGAGTCCGCATAGATCGGACGGCGTCGATGATGCGTTTGCCGCGATGCAATGAACTTGAGTCGGAGTCCGATCACCGCGCAGACTCAGAGACCGCATCCGACTCACCGGGCTGAAGTTCACCGCCGGCATCACTGATGAGAGTCATCGGGCGTCACTGATCTCAGGTGACTCCGAATCAAGTTCATCGCGGCAAACGCCGCATCATCGGCGCTGTCCGTCCGATCTATTAGGCTAGCCGCCGGGCCCGAGTCGCGGGCCTTCACAGGCCGGGCCCGGGCCGGGCCCGGCCGCCGCGTGAGCCTGCCAGTCACTGAGTCTGGCACTGCGGCATGCTGGCCGGGCAATTGAGCAGCGGCCCGGCCCGGCTCTCAGTCCTTCCAAGTGACTGAACTGCCATCCGAAGTAAAGGCTGCGGCGCTGCCCGGCCCCGGCCCGGTGGCCCCGGGCCGCCCCGCCCGGCCGCCCCGGGCCCCGGCCCCGGCGCCGCCCGGCCCGGACTCTGGCCCCTCGGTCCTTGACGGCGCCCGGGGCCCGGCCGCTGTACCCACGCACCCAGTGATGTTTAACTTAACTTTGACTAAAAGCTCTACTGTACCGTTAGGTTTTTGGAGTTCAAAAATGCCCTCATATTTGCCAAGTAGTGGATACGTAGTACCGGTGGGGTCTTGTGGGCCAGGGTAGGGTGGGTAGTGGTAGACCATCGGATACCACACGTGAGCCCATCAGACTATCAAGAACCGGGTTATTTATCATACGTGTTAGGATATCTGAGGGTGGGTGGTAGAATCCCTCAACCACCCTACCCTGCCCTTCATAAAGTAAATTAATTTTATAGAAAAGGGGGGTAGACGAAGTCACAGTCTTCAGGGCAGTCGTCCAACAGGGGTAGTGGTACCTCCCTCCCTTCAAGAATCAGTGATTCCACAACCAGGGTACTAGTAATGAGGAGGTAGGGTCATTGGGGAAGGGGGTAGTCACGTTCAAGGTCGCCCTCTACCCTTTAGACATTTGCGGTAGGCGGATGCCACCTGCATGTCGATGTGGAGCGATTGGGGTGGGTGGTATTTTGGAGATGCGAGGGTGGGGTTATCTGAGGGGGGTAGGGATAGAGGGCGGCTATTGGTGTCTTAAAGAGGCTACCATTTGACCACCCCACCTTGGGAAATTAACAAAAGCTTGGAGATAGGCAGGGGTCCTATGAAGATGGATGATTGCATGCTAACGGCTCTTTTCTAGGACCCTGCCGTAGAGATTCCTAGCATTGGACACCTCCTCTAAGACAAATTTCGTATGTAGCTATGGATTACTAGGACCCTCTAAGCACCCGAGGCTCGACTGATGTAATTGCGGAATATTCGAAAGAGGTGGGCTATGTGCACCCAAGCTACACGAAGTATTTTAGATAATAAATAAATGATATCTAATTTTCACTCAATAAATTTTTTAAATTGGCTTCAGCGGGGGTTAAGGTGAGTGCTTTGCATCTTATGTCAAGGACCTGATCGTGCATCGGGGATTGCCCGTGAGTGGAGGTTCAGCCGAGGCGAGGAGGCAGCATGCAGGCAGCAAGAGGAAGGCGCCGGCACAGGCCGCGCGCGATGCTCTTGTTCTTGGTGTTTGCCCTAGGTAAAGTGAGAAAAGCTTGGGTTGTCACTTACTGCTACTGCTCTCCTAGGTTTGGGGACAGCGTTGTCGTCTCAACCTGTCATACCTTTCAACTGTGACGACCCTCTAACGTGCTTCGATGGCTACCTGCATCCGCCATCCTACGTCACGGTCTGATCTCGCATTCCGATTGATCTTCTTTTCTTGATCATTTTTCCAGTGTATCGCATTGGGTCCACCAAACTCAACCACAATCCAACAATCTGATCCCACAGCAGCGTCATACACTCAGTCCAAGGGACAAATCAACACTCTATCAGGACCGATCCCATTTCAGTTGTCTGCAGACAACATCTTCATTTGGTATCGCAAGGCTCTCAAATACCTTGGAGTGTGTATGGACTATCTTCACAGCACCACTGTCCCCAGGTATCTGGCTGTGAAGGGCCTGTTCTGTCACCTTGGTTGACCCCTTCTGCAGCATTAACGATCGAGTAAGCACCCTGGATCTGTTGTGTGCTGCCTACGTCGATCCAGCTACTGGAAAGAACCTGTGCACTGCCCTTCAGCAGAAAGCTGTCTGTGGTGTGGATGACAGCAGAGGACTCCATTACGTTCTGGTTGAAGCGCTTTGGGCTTCAGACTCTTCCATCAAGACAAGTCTGAGCAAAATGCTCTGCGATGGTTCCTGCATCAGAGACATAATTGATGTCTACACACCCATCTTCCAGCAGTGGGGCTATTACGATGTATCAGTGGTTAACAAAATCGCTTCTTTGAACAGTTTGTGCAATGCAGATGTTCAGATCGATGGTTACTTCTACGCAATGAGCTATGGTATGACAAGCCAAGTTCAGTGCAGCACCAACAACGTCACTCTTGCCTTCACTACATCCGTCACTCTACCAAAAGATTCGGTGTTGACCATCGTGGGAATCAACTCACCAATGTAAGTCAACACTTCATGGTTGGTTCAAACTCTAATGCATTGCTTTTTTTTCGCAGCGTTGGTGGATTATCTAAAGTGACTGAGGCTTCTAATCTGTTATCAGCTCGGAATGTGATAGATGCAAAATGCCAGGATTGGTGCAGCAGTTTTGGTCTATGTCCAACAGACGGGAATGCTGCAGGCATTGGTTGCATCTCATGGAATTCGAATGCATCGGTAGGAATGCTCACAAATGAGCGATGTGCTAGATGGTGTGATGTACCTTCCGAGTTAACGCTGAATGTGAAATCAAACATTGCACAGGGAACAAATCTGGTGATAACGATTCCCGTCAGGAACTCTCCTTACAAAATGCGTTCTTCTGTAGCGAAAGCGTCACTTGTTGCCTCTGGTGTTTTTATTCCAATCGCAAATTTCTCTTTTCCGGACAACTTCATGAGCAAGTTCATGCCTGAATTTACAGAATTTGCTGTTGCTGAATCCCAGTGCAATGCTGCAGTTTATGACCCTGCAACCAAGACTTGGACTGGCAACTGCGTTGGAATGAAAAACATCGTTTCGATTTCCTTCAAGTCAAATATTGACCTTGAGCCAGGAACCACGCTTACCATTCAGGGATTAGTTCGTTCCTCGACAGTTGCTTTGAATCCACCTACTTTTGTGGGTGTCACGCCAGTTGCAGTAGCGCTTTCGATTGAAGATTGGATTGTATCGACGGGCACAGTCATTCTCAAGATTGCTGGGGGATCGTCAACGTCAATGAAGGCGAATGTCCTACAGACTGTACAGCTTGCGTTTGATATGCCAACCAAACCAAGCTCAGATTCCACCGTACTCACCTTGAGTGCATCCAACATCGCAGGAATTGAAGCCTGCTCTTCCCTATCTACGACAATCCCAGCTACAATTCTGCAGTCGCAGGTTTTGACAACAACGCCGAAGATAGTTCTTGCCGAGCTTACTCAGAGTGACTGCAACCCTGCTTCCTGTGCATCGTTCGTCTTTTCTTTTGCAGTTAACTCTGAGATCACATACTTGAACAACCAATCCATCTACTCCTTCTACCTGGATGGCTTTAATGGATTCACTGGACCCTGCACATCACCATCTTGTGGATCTGCCTTGAATGTGATTACCCTGCTTGATGGAGTGTCAGGTCAGCTTGCTCACTTGCAAACTAATGGTACTAATGTCTGGTGCAGGTTCTAATGACAAATACTTGTTCGAACGCGTGTCATCGTCTGCACGCGCAGAAGCTGATTTTGATGCAGCCAATGGAACACTGCAGATGCATTTGTCGCGAGATGCGGTTTTGAAGCCTTACACTGTTTACTCTGTCAAATTCAATCTCAAGTCTGAATATCGTAATGTCACCAGCAAGTTCTATGTAGAGGGCTTCTCCCAGTCGCACTCATACAGTCACTTGCCACAGGACTGTCTTTCAACCTCTCCTGATTGCACTGGAATGCAAATTGTTACCAAGATTTTGAGCACTGCCTCGAATCAGCGCATGGGAGTTTGCGGACCTGAACTCGTGGCTCGTACCATCAAACAATCTTACCCATGGCCAGGTTGTGGAGGGCCAACGTCGTACACGCAATATACACTCAGCGATAGTGAGTATGTCCCGTCTGCTTTCAGAGCACAAGAGAAAAATCTGAACAACACACACAACACTTTCACTCTCAGCTTCACTCCAAATGTGGATGTCCCATCTTCTGCAATGGTCACTTTGTACAACTTGCAAGGCATAGTACGTATCTCGAATGACGTGGTGGGACTCTACCGTCAGATCAATGAAAACACTACTCGTTTCGAACCCTTGAACTCTGTCATCAACAGTACTCAAAGGGATGTTGTATTTATGCTGATTAACAACGTCACTGCCAACACTGAGCACACTATAGTGTTTCAGGTCACGAATGATGTAATCCAGTCCACTCCAAGCCCAATTTCAATCAGCATAGCATGGAAAGTTGATGGTAAAAATATCATGATACCTAAAGTAGTTCTGAAGGATGCTGTTGTGTCTGCCAGCGACTTCGTTACTGTTGCAGACCTTGTGGCTTCCAGAGTCAATGCCCCGGCATGGATCATTCGCAAGATCAAGCAAAGCACGCCGTTCCCGAACACCAACAATACCATCTCAGTGGAGCTGGCTGCTAACGTGGAGTTTCGCCAGGGAGCCAAAATCACGCTTAGGGGCCTGGTAGGAAGTCAGACTGCATCTACAACTCAGCTGATGATAACGAGTACTGGCGTCGCTCTCAACCAATACGCTACCTGGGACAAGGATACAGGAAAAATTGTTGTAACTCTTGCGGGGCCATATGACCCTTATGCGTCAAACTCAAACAAAATCATGTTCTCCTTCACCATTTTGAACCCTTGCTCCTGTCATATGAGCCAGGACATCTACGTCGACGTAAACGACAATGCTTTCGCCGTCACTGCCTCGTACGCTTGCCAAGTTGTCAACTACACGGAATCAGTTGTCACAAACTGGACTGAGACATACTACCTTGATGGAACCTGCAAGAATACCCGTGAAATGTCGAATGTCACCAACTACACAATGACCAAGAATGGATCTTGCACTTGGACAGCCCAGGCTTCTGGAAATGACTGCTCGCTGCCCCCAGAAGCCATGATGGTTCTCGCAACTGTGTCCCCCAGCTGCAAGAAGTGTCCTCCTGCGGATTGCACCGACTGCGCCAAGTGCAATGTTTGCGGCGATTGCAAGACAGACTGTGTCAACAACGATTACTTCCCTCTTCAGGTTCACAAACCTGCTTTCTTGACCAAAGAGGTCTACCAGTCTTCCAGCGTTCCAGGAGCGGACAATGAAATCACCGTCATCTTCTCAACAAACCTTGACCTGCCGTCCACAGCTAAGGTGGAGGTCTCCGGGTTTGCAGGAGCCATTTGGAAGTCCTCAGCAACTCCAAGTGCCTTGACAACTGTGAGCGGAGTTGTTCCATCGGACAAGACTGACAAGACCAACTACACTTTGGGCTCTTTGAATTTGAGCACAGTGACCTGGGACGACAAGACACAGACCGCGACCCTCGCTCTCTCTGACGGCACGTCAGCATCAACTCTCTATGCGTTCAAGTTCACTGTGACGAACCCAAGTGTTGCGCAGCGAGCCCCTGAGTTGCAGATCTGGGCTACCAATGTGTGCAACTGCCAAGGAACCACAGGAATCGACAAATGCTGTGTGATGTATGATTCGAAAGATACTGCCATGCAACCTATGGCCGTTGATTATCCCAAGTTCGAGGGCATGTCGATGTCGCAATCGTCACCTCACATCTCTGCCCTCAACACCCTCACCCTCCAATTCAAAGTTAACATGGCCTTGTCCTATCCCAACAAGATCACCGTTGCTGGTCTTCTGGGCAGCACAACCCCCAAGAATTCTGCGATCAAGATCACTGTCATTACCGGGGGGGCTGTAATTGACGATTATGGATCTTGGGATCCTGAAACTGGGCATCTGATCCTTTCGTTGGGTGAAAACCAGAAGTTGGCCGCGAATTCTTCGTGCAAAGTTTCGTTTGAGTTGCAAAACCCTCCGTATGAGCAGAATTCTCCCACCATCGTTATCTCAAGCAAAGGATTCCTTCCACAGGTTGTTGACGCGGGCACAGTCCAGGACAGCAAGCCCCTGTTCGTTAAGAGACCGGAAATCAAGGCAACGGTTGTGCAGAGCACCACTGAACCTGGCGCTCTGAACACAATCACGGTCACTTTGAACTCTAACACTCCCATCCGTCCTTCGACCAGATGCAGTTTCCAGACTGGACTTGACTGTCAAAGACAATCTAGATTCATCATCAGGGGCTTGAACGGTGCAAAAGCGCAGGATGGCCCCCTTGCGATTTACTCGAACAGCAGCTCTACTATGTTGCTCAAGTCTTCCCCCCAGGGAGTTCCTGGCACTGGCATGTGGAACTCGACCAATTTCTCGCTCACCTTGTATGTGGTTGGCACTCTGAGTGCTGATGAGAATCATGTCTTCTCCTTCAAGGTGCACAACCCTAACCTCGGACAAACTTGCTCACCCACGGAAATCCTGGCTGAATACTTGGAGTTCGAGATCGAGGGCTGCACTTTGGACATCGATACGAACCAGAGGTACTATGTTGTTCCCTCATACGTCCCCTGCACTTCTGGAGTTGGCAATGCCTGCGCCATCACAGTTGTTCCGCCTAAATTCACCGTGAGCTCGATCGCCGACTGCTCTGATGTTGTGGGTGCAATCAACACTGTCACCATGTACATCGCAGCGAATGTGCCTTTCAAGAGTGGTGACATGCTCGAGATTGAGGGGCTGCAGAACTTCGTTATGAAGGACGTCGTCGCTTTGACAGGAAAGGATGCTGCTTTCTTTTCTGGGATCGCACGTTTTGATCTCTTCAACAAGATTCTCCACCTTGAGTTCGGTTCTGGAGCCGATGTATCTGCTGGTCAAATTTTGACTGTCGAAATGCAGCTGCAGAACTCCAAGATCCCTCGCTTTGGAAGTGAGCTCTACATCTGGCTGCGAGGCAATAACTTCGTAATTCCCCGAACAAAGATGTCTGGCCAGGTTCTGGCTTCCAGATTCAACGCTTCGTTCGAAACTGCCATGGTTTCAGAGTCTATGTCTGTGCAAGGATCTTGGAACATCATCTCCGTCTTGTTGAAGACAAACACGTACCTCCGCCCTGGAACTCAGATTGTCATCTCTGGATTCGCCAGCACACATTTCTCGAAGTTCATGATTCCTTCATCTTCTGTACGAGGAGACGAAGGTTTTTATGGTGCTGGCTCAATCAACCTTGGTACCAACGGCCAGTTCCTCGCTAATGCCAGCTGGGATGCTTCTACCGGTACCATCACTGGTCACATTCACTCTACATGGCATGCACACTCATCACGACTCATCGCGTTCCCAGTGCTGAACAATCGTGCTCCTAACAGTGCCCAACTGAATGTCCTTGTTTCAGCACGGTGCCCTGCGATGCCCATCGCAGGTTCCACGATGTCCGCTTGTCCTCCAGGGAGCATTGTCATCCCCCCGACCCCTGTGAGTGGAGGTGATACGATCTTGCACTCTGATATCAAGGCAGACTTCCCTGTCAGGATGATTGGTCAGAGCAACCCTTATCCCGGCGAAGTCAACGTCATCACACTTACTCTCTCTAGCAACTTCGAGTTCCGTGCCAACTCCGGTCAGAACCTCATGTTGACTTTGTATGGACTTGTTGGGCTGCCAAACGTCACCAGCTCTATCTGCCTGAAAGCGAAAGCTTCCAACACTTACTACGACCAGGCCATGAGCTCTGGTGACTTGCCATTTGCGGGAGCTTGCATGAACTGCGCCTGCAACACTAGCGATTGCAACGCCTTTTTCAAGGTAGCAACCTTGAGTGATCCATACGTCAGCATGTACATCAGTGGCGACATGCAGGCAGGACGCAAATATGTCTTCTCATTTGAGATCAAGAACCCGTCCCAGCAGCAATCATCTCCATTAAACATCAACCTCAGGCTGAATTGGAATGACGTGACTGCTTTCAATGTCCCTATGCAGAAAGATATGTACGGCATTCCTACAGGTGTAGTGGATGCGGCAGTTGGAGACTCTGCTCCTCTCTTCATCAGGTCGAGCATCTTTTCTAGCATGTACATCTACCAATCGAACTCGAACCCTTGCGCGAAGAACAAGATCTGCGCCAGGATCAAACCGTCTGTCCCCCTGTCAGCTGAGGCCGGCCACGTCATCATCATGTCAAATTTCGTCAATGCTGTTGTGACCGGAACAGATGTTGCCATCGAGGTCCCCTCGACCTCTTACTCAACGCAACTCTTCCAGACTGCGTCAGGAGCTATCAACTACGGAACTTGGAGTGATAGCAGCAAGTCTCTCACTTTGAATCTCTATTGCAGGCTAGAGCCCGGACAAAATTATGACTTCTGCTTCACCGTGCAGAATCCGGATCTGTATCAACCTGCTGCGATTGTGAACATCAAAGCAAAGCAAGATGGTACCAATGTTGCCATGCCCAACAAGACAGCTGTCAACTTTGATGTGAAAACGGCACCCATGTTCGTTACCAAGGGGGAATTCTCAACCTTCACCGTCTCCCAGTCTTCGAGAAAACCTTGTGATACCAATGATATCACGATCTCGTTCACCATCAACATCGACATCGTGTGTGATCCTGAAATCACCATCTCTGGTCTTGATGGTACCAGCCTAGCCTCGAATCTGACGCTGGATGACACCTTGAGTGCTGTTACGATGCTAAACGAGGGAAGCTTCAAGTTCTATTGGCCGGGTAACGTCACCCAAGGAAGTCACACGGTCAAGTTCACGATCAAGAACGACAATGTGGCAAGGACTCACTCGGTGCAGATGAACATCGCTAGATTTCAGATGATTTCTCGAACATCCGATTTCACCGTTGATGCTCCTGCCATTAGTGGCTATTCACTCACCCAGCAGACGCAGTGGCCTGGGGTTCAGACGGCAGTTAACGTCAAGTTCCAGATTAATGCCGGAAGTTACTCGAAGGCAAACGATGCAGCCATTACTTTGAGAGGATTGCCTGCATCTTGGTTCGGTGCTTTCACCATTGGCGCAAGGAACAAGGGAATCGAGTGTGTCATCCCTCCTTTCCCGAATGTCAGCACGACTGCTTCTGTGAACAACACAAACAGCTCCAACAGCACGGGAAGCTCCAACAGCACGAATAGCTCGCTAAGCTCGAGCACGGCAGCCAACACAAGCAACATCTCTGATACCTACATTCTCTTTACGAATCAGATGGCTTCTGCTCGATTCTCAAACGTCAATGCAAACAATGCAGATCATTTGGTTTGCGTCAGGTACTCGCATGACGACAACACTTGGCAGTACTACGGTAAGAGTGCATGGCATGCTTTCAGTACTACAAGTACAGATGTACAATTCCTTGCCTTCATGGTGAATCCGGGGGGCAATGCATCAGCTTTATCGAGCAGTGAAAGCATTATGGGCATTGATGCAGGAATTGAGAGCACTTCTTCCGATGTGAGGATTGGACCCCTTGTGCAAGGATCTGCCTTGAGCAGGTGTGCCAACCCACTTCAACTACAGGTGGAGGGCGATTTCTTGAAGCCTTCCGTCTTCCGCTTGAAGGCATCGTCATCCACTTTTGACGCGTCAGCAACGACTAATTCCATCGTCCTTCGTCCCGGACAGACAGCATTGCAGATGATGACGGACATCACTGTTGACTTTTACGTCACGAACCCGACGACGGGATCTTCCACAGTCAGGGCAGTCGGAACCAGCACCTGCGCCAACTTGCCCTCGGTTGATGTTGGAATGTTGCAGGTAGTCTCTGCAGCTGTGTTGTCTGCCAAGGCTGTCCAAAGCTCGCCCTTCCCTTGCAGCGTCAACACGATTTCAGTATTGTTTTCCACCAACTTTCATGTGAACGGTGCAAGCACAGGCAACTACGTTACATTGTCAAGTTCGATTTTCAGTGCCTTGTCAACGCAACAGCAAACCTACAAACTGATTGAATCGGAGGATGAAAGCAATCTGTTGCATTATGTTGTTGGGCCCTCGGTCACTTTTACACCAAGCAACAATCAGTTCCAGCTGAAGGTGGCCTCAGGATACAACCTGATTGCAGGTAAAGAATATCAGTTCGCCTTCAATGTGAGGAATCCCAACTCGACCGTTACCGGAGGTTTCTCGAACTTTGAGATGATGAGTCCACCGCAGTTGGAAGTTTACAACAGTGCTGCCCTCAGAGCTTCTCAGTCGAACCTGGAAAGCAAGGGAAACCTGGGATTGTGTGGAAGTACCACTGCTAATGACAGTATTCCCCTCTACATCTACAGACCTGTCATCTCATCTGCTTCTATCGCTCAGGACAACAACGAGCATTGCACTCGCACCACTATGAATGTTTCCTTCCGTGTTAATGTGCCCATCTGCTCAACTGGCTGCCAGACTGCCTTGACTATTTCTGGATTCACGGGAGGATACGTCGATGGGGTCACCACTGACACAGTTGTTGACTTGGCTTCTACCAACAGCGATGACAAGAATCTGTTTGCTGCTAGAGTGAAGGGCGACAAGGGCAAGGGTCTGTGGATGCCCAGCACTCAGACGCTGAAGCTTTATCTGACATGCTGCCTTGAGTGCAACAAGGACATCGCGTTCTCCTTCGACCTGTGGAACCCGTCACAGTGCGCTCAAGCGGCGCAGACCATCAGCATCGGAACTGTCGACACTGGATACAACAATGTTCAGACAGCCTCCAAGCAGATGACATCAACGAACATCCTCAAGGTGGATCAGCCGGTGTTCTTGCACGCTTCTGTGCAATCTTCGAGCTCTACTCCATGCGAACTGAGCAACTACACTGTGAAATTCTCTAGCAACGTCAAGATTCCCGTGAACACCTACATCACACTCACAGGATTTGCTGATGGCAGACTGAGATTCTTGGATGTGAATGCTACTGGCAACGAGTCATCTACCTGCACCAGCCGAGTTCCCCTCACCGTGGTTGTGATCAACAATGCCACAGACGCGAAACAGACTACCTCGCTTGAGGGTCACTGGAATGCTTCTACCGGACTCATCACCTTCAGATTGCCTCAGCAGCTCACCACGGACAATCGCCTTGAAGTAGAATTTCAACTCTACAACCCTGCGTCATCGTCCAACGGTTTCACCTCTACTGTGAAGGCAATGATTTGCAACACTTGCCAGTTCACAGAGGCTACATTGGGGACGGTGCTGCAGGTCAGCAGCATCTCCTTCACTACCAGGGAGATCTGGCAGAGCTCACCTTGGCCTTGCTGTGACAACAACCAGATCACTGTCTCGTTGGTGTCCAATGTCGCTTTGCTGGCCTCATGCTCCCCCAAACTCACCATCTCTGGTCTCAACAGCGCCATCGTGAATGCCACATCGATCAACGTCACAGACCTTGTTTATGGCTCCATGTATGAAGCATCTTGGAATGACGGAACTATGGTTGTTATGTTGAAGGACTACATGGGCTCGTCCAGTTCTGATGCAAAGGCTTCTTCCTTTAACTTCCGCTTCACTGTGAAGAACCCCAGCATCGCTCCAGCTCTCCCAACCATCACCTTCAATGGCGAGATTCGTAACCAAGTGTGCATGTTGTCGAAGCTCAAGAACGAAACATCAAGCTTCGATGGCACTTTCCAGGCGCCGATGTCATGTGGCTCAAGGTGTTCATGGAGTCAGGACACATGCAGTGACGCATGCTACACTACAAATTGCAGCAGTGTTACCGTTGTCAAGTCAACCGTCACGTCGGTACAGAAGAACTATTCGCAGTGCGTGTACAACGAGACGACCAAGTTGAACAATTCCAAAGTGTTCTACTACACAGAGAACATCACTTCGTACTACAATGAGACCACTCAGAAGTGTGACAACCGATCCGATGTGACGGACAAGTCTCTGACCGACCTCAGGGTTATGAGCATCCGATCTATGCAAATCAAGCATCAACAGATCTATCAGGACAACAACATCCCTTGCAGCCCCTTTGACGTCACGATCAAGTTCATGACCACCGCTCCCTTGTTCTCTTCATGCCAACCTGAGATTGTGTTTACTGGACTCGTGGGTTCAGTTCCAAATGTATCTGTCTTCACCTCCGTCACTTCCGGCTTCACGTTTGGGTCGTTCAATCACCAGACTGGAGATCTTAAGGTCTCAGTTAGCAGCACTCTGAAGCCGGGTTGTAACCACACGATCAAGTTGGGGCTTCTGCACTGTGCAGCATCCTCAGATGGAATTGCACAATCAGACATCAGGATCTCACACCCGAATGTCAAGGATGGATTGCAAGTCTCGACTCCAATCAGCCTAACAAGCTTGACGAGTGTGAGCAAACCGATGGCTGTCAGGACTCTTTCTCTCTTTGGTTATGCAGGACAGAGCAGCAGAACTCCATGCGGAAGCAACACAATTTATGTCGATGTAAGCAGCGACATCCGAGTGTTCAACTCTTGTATCCCTTACTTGCACTTGAGCGGTTTTGCTGGTCTTCCTACCCAGACTGGCAGCGTGTCGCTTTCTGCGTCATCCACCCACACCCTCGTGTCCAACGCAGCCACTGGAACCTGGACTAACGGCAACGTGCTAGTGATTGACCTCCGCCCGTTGATGAATGAGACATATGGTGGATATGCATACGGCCATAACTTCAGCATGTCCTTCACGATCACGAACCCATCTTGCGGACAGCCTGGCAACGAGCTTTCAGTAAAGATCAAGAGCAACCAGAGCGAAGTGATCCCTTGCCTGTACCTTGAGAGTGCGCTATATGACTTGATGAATGTGCCATGGGGACACGATTGGCGATCGCAGTTGACGGGTAAAGTGAACATGTCCGCGGACTCACCTTTGGCTATCGACTCTGTAGGGTACAAGATGAACACGACGATCTACCAGAGCTCTCCTTATCCCTGCGATCAGAACAAGATCACTGTGAAGCTTGAGCCCAACATCACTCTCTCTCAAGCCTGTGAACCTTTGGTGACCATCCATGGCTTTGACTCAGTTCTTGCCCCAGGCACCATCCAAATTGAGTCTGACAGCACAGTGTTCAATTCAACCGCGGTTGTGACATCTGCCAATGACCTCGTTGTAAAGATTGTCCAAGATGCATCGGGAAATGCCGTGCATCAGTTTTCTTTCAACATCACCAATCCCAGCCAGCGTTCTGAATCGAGCAGAGATGCTCCGTTCTCGCTCATGACTACCCTGAAAGGATCTTGCAGCAGGAGCTACATGCTTATTCCATCTGCTCCTCTCTCAGATTCTTGTTACTCTAACCAGAAGGAATACTGGCCGATGAACCTGAGAGGTCTTGCTTTCGTTACTAAGAACATCGGACAGAGCAACCCTCATCGAAATTGCCACAACACCATCACTGTGACACTCAGCACCAACATTCCACTCTTGATCACGGATGCTTGCAAGCCTCAGATCACTCTGACTGGATTCACTAATGCTGTTGCAACTCATGGGATGATATCCTTGGCTGTCATCGGCCAGTGTGAGGGTAGCGAAGATGCTACCTACTTCTTCCGTCCGAACAGCAGCAATGTTCTGGGAACGGGATTGTGGGACAACACGGCTAAGTCCTTGGCTCTCAACTTGGCTAAAAACTTTCAGATGGACACGAATTATGTTTTCTCCTTCCAGGTGAAGAATCCTCCAGCAAATCAGGCTGCTGCTACTATCTCGCTGACTACCAATCTGCCAATGTACACTAGCTGTACTAGGACCAGAATCAACTCGTTAGCCTTGACAAACGATCCTGGATTTCCTTGCTGCATCTGCGATCAGGGCGAAGCTGGAGACTCTTCGCCAATGAAGATCAAGACGCCTGTTTTCTGTATCAAGCGTATCCGACAGTCGGTGAAATGGCCATGTGCCGATAACGAATTGACTGTGACCATCTCATCTACGATTCCTTTGAACAAAGGAGACACGATCAAGCTCTCTAATTTGACCAACGCGGACCTCACTAGTCGCAATCTCACTCTGACGGATGGCTCAGGAGGTCTGCGCGATCAGAACTTGTTTGGGCGATATGCCGCCGCTGAGGGCCAGTGGGATGCTTCTGACTTCTCCTTAACTTTGTACCTCAGAGAGAACCTTGACTGCAGCAGTATGTTCTCGATCAAGTTCACGGTAAGGAACCCCAAGCGTGCACAAGGTTGTGCCATGGTAAACATCTACACACAAAGTATCGGTACCTCCAAGATGGACTCAGAGGATCTACCCTTCTGCCCGATGTACGTGATGAGAGGAGATTTGACTCCCATAATCTGGGAGTCAACTTCGAACCCCTGCTGTCAAAACACAATATATGTGCAACTAACGCCAACGGTGCCGCTTAGAAAGATATGTGAGCCTTACCTCGTCATCTCTGGCTTGACAAACAGTCGAACCCCTGATGGTTCCATCGCCATCACGTCTGATGTCTTCTACGACACAGCCAGTTGGTTTAATGGCAATGGAAGTTTTATCCTGCGCTTAAATTCGTCTGACTTGCAAGAGAATACCCCAATCAATTTCACTTTCTCCCTACTCAACTCAGAAGATGGCACTGGTGCGACAAACGTCAAGATTCAAGGCTCGCAGGTTCTCACAGATGTGTACACCTTCACTGTTCCGACTGGCAAGAAGGTCCCCCTGTCGGTCGATACATTGAAGATTCAAGCTGCGAAGATCGCACAGTCTTCGCCCTGGCCTTGTGATAACAACACAATCCATGTTCAGTTCAACCTCGTGGGGCACATTCCTCTGGATTGCAACCCTCGAGTTACTATCGATGGATTGGATTTCATCCATGATTCTCAAATCATTCAAGTGACTGATGTGAATACCAACCTGACATCGATGCATGATTGGAGCCATCCAAAATTGATTCTTGACCTGGTGAAGTTGAAGAACCAATCGTGTTCCGAGGCCGATGCATCTTTCGACCTGAAGTTTACCTTGAAGAATCCCAGTGCTGCACGAAGCGCGTTCACTGTATACATTGAGGGAAGCCTGTATAAGCAACGAACAGTTCCAATTGCTCGTGTGCCAATGCAGAACCTGACGGAATCCGTCAGCTTCGATGGATATGCGGCGTCAAGCCTTCTTCCAACAGCCGAAGATGCACGCGCAGGTTACATCCGAAGCATTGAGATGGGAGGATTTGTCCACCAATCTTCTACCATCACGAACTTCAATGTTACAACCCCCTGCCTCCCTGTGAACATCATGGTTTCCTTCAACACTTCGGTGCCCTTGATACCAGCATGTAACCATGTCGTCACTATCACTGGACTCAAGTACTCGGCTACGCAGATGTATGAGTTCTCGTCGACTAGCAATCTGATCGGAGACGCAACCTTCGACAGGATTAATGGAGTTTTCGTTGCCAAGGTCATGTCGATCGTGACAGCTGGTGAACCGCACACGTTTCAATTCAAGCTCACGCATGGAGCCGCTCCTGGAAATGGAGACAGTCAAGTGAATTTCACCGTATCTCAACTCGCCTATAGGACGCGCCTGGAGACCACCTCTCAGGGTATCGATGCCATCCCCATGCGTGTCGCAGCTCTCTCCTTCCTTGACCTCGGCATTTGGCAATCGTCGCCATTTGCTTGCAGCCCCAACACAATCACTGTGACGCTCCGCTCCCAGTACGTCACCATGTTGACTAACTGCCAGCCAAAACTCACTCTGAGCGGCTTGGACAACGCAGTGACTGCTAACGGTCCGATCAATGTAACCTGGGATGACTCGCAAAATATTGTTGGTACGTGGACTAAGCCACAGCTCATGACGATGATGCCTTCCTCGGATACCACGGTTGCCTTGCGTTGGAAGTTCTCGTTTGATCTTCGGAATCCGAACGTGGCCCAACCTGGAAGGAATGTCGGTATCCAGATCAGTCTGACGTCTGTGAATGATTCTACTACTCAATCATGGAGCTACAGCGGAATCCCAACTATCACTCAGAATGCAACTGGAAGCGACCTGTTCCCTTCGGATTTCGATTCCTCCGTCATGAATCCATTGCTGGCATACAACTTGAAGCTGAATGTGACCTTGGTGAACAATTCTGTTCCTCTGATGTGGACTTCGTCATTTTCAAGTTTGCAAACCCAGTTCTTGAATACACTTGAGAGCAATCTCAGACATGCGAAAATCCTCTGGCACTACAATGTTTCAATTCAGAGTGCAAGTTCCATTGAAATTCATCTCTACACCACGGAGGTCAGCATTGATACAATCAAGCAAACGATCACGGACTCCCTGCCAAGCATCACTTCCCAATATCGCTTGGCAACATTCGATGTATCGGTGACTCAGAACAACTCCTACTATGTGCGAGAAAGGACTGCTATGGACTCAGATCCTTTGTACGTCCGTAACAACTCTGTCACGATTGCCAACATCTGGCAGAAAACTTTCTATCCTTGCGCTGATAACACCATTTACGTGGAGTTCCAGACCAGGTCTCCGATTTACACTGCATGCATGCCTTCGTTGACGATCAATGGTCTGACCGGGTCGATCACCCCAGACACTAGCAGCCTTACCATCCAAGAGTCAGCTAACGAAGTCAACTTCGGGCCAGGTACATGGACGCAGGCAACAGGCAACCTTGTGATTCCAATCAGCACTGGCAACCAAGGGAACACGATCGGAAACTACCTTTACTCGATGAGTTTCGGTCTCAGGAACCAGGCGAAGAATCAGCTTTCTCCTGCTGTGAACTTCCGCATCACCTACGTACCAGGCCTCGTTCCTATGACTCGTGTCGCAGGCAAACCGATTACTGACTTTGAGGCAACTGTCAACTCGTCCTTGCCTCTCGCAATTGTTGCGATGACTTACAAATATAAGTCAGCTGGTCAGACTTCACCTTATCCTGGTTGTCAAAATACCATCACTGTCACTCTTCAGTACAATGTGCCATTCTTCCCAACCAACTGTGTGAATTACATCCGTATCGCTATGACCCGTCTCGCTGATTCCGATTCAAATCCCACGTTCGCGTTGCCAAGTGTCTCCTTCACTTCCAACATGAACAGTGTGTCGTTGGTCGGAAAGACTCATATCTACAGGACTGGAAACGACGCTTGGTTCGCTCCAGGTCAGTGTGACTCCGAGAGCAAGCTTGCGGCCTCATCTTTCATGGATGCGGCCGTTGGCGGCACATCAGGTTACGGAGCATTGACAGATTTCACATGCTCTGGACAAAACTATCACAGCATTCAGATGTGGGTAGGGGCGCAGATCAATGCAAACACACCAATCGTTCTGCAGTTTCAGGCAATCAACCCCATGACGAAGAACAATCCTACACCCCTCAAGGTCGAGACACAAGTGAGCTCAACCTACACCAACGACAATCAGGTGCTCGGATCTGGAGGGTGCTCAGAAAACATTACGAGCGACAAATCTAGTGTCTTGTGCTGCACCAGTTGCTCTCCTGTTGGGCACGCTGTTGCTGCTGATTCACTGAGGGTTGATACTACTGGTTATGGGCAGGAGACACAATATGGTGATGCTGAGCCGTTCAAGGTTCATTCGCCTTACTTCTGCACGAGATACATCGGTCAGAGCACACCTTACCCGTGCGCCATCAACACGATCTCCATCACGATCACGTCGAATGCCCCGATGCCGGCAAACAAGACGGTGATCACTCTCTCTGGATTCACCGGTGCGCATGCTCCTTCCGGCGAGATAGACCTTGGAGGAGGTGACAACATGCTTGGTCAGCACATGATGTTTTCTTCTTCATTGGGAGGATCAGTTGGAAAGGGTACATGGGACAACACCAACAAGAAGCTTACTCTCCAAGTTACTACCACCATTGACTGTGGAACTGATATCCAGCTCAAATTCAATGTGACCAACGATGCCAAGGCACAGCCATACCAAACGATCAACATCACAGCAACCTTTGGTTCATACACTACCACAAGCTTGCAATTCGTGCATGATCTCACGGACTCCAAAAAGGCGATGGTCATCTACGAGACCAAGTTCCAAGGTTCGATTTCTGACTCCAGCAGTGAACCTTGTGACGAAAACAGCATCACAATTTCAAGCCTGAAGGCCAACACTCCGATCTTCCAGACGGAGACCTGCAAACCTACGATTCACATCTGCAACTTTTCCAATCCTGTGATCGCTTCAGTCAACCTCTCGTTCTCTTATCAGTTCGAAAATGAAATTCTGATGAATGATACTTTGGTATGGGATGGATGCTCTTGCTTGGTTTGGACTGTCACTGAGTTGCTTCCGTTCGATACCAAGACTGCAACTGTACAGTTCAAGGTTCGCAACCCAGCAAGAAATCAGCCATCTAAGACCATCAACATTAATGCCCAGAACTTCGGATACAATCCTTCTGACACAAATAGGTACAGCACTTGGAATTCATTGGGCAACGTCATGATGGTTCAGTACAATGACTTGACGTTTGACATGAATCAGACGACGAACTACCCATGTGACATGAACACAGTAACAGTCCTCGTGAACGTCCCGGTCAAAATGGTTCCTGGCTGTGGATGGACTGTACGAATCGGCAATCTGCCAGCCTACTACGGACAACAAAGTCCTGACCTTCAGGTCACTGGTTTGGGAGGTCTTACCTTGGTGAACCCCGTTGCTTATTGGAATAGTTCATCAAGCCTGTCAAACATCACCATTCAGATCAACTCTTTGGTACCAAGGGGTTCTCTGTTCAAAGCTCAGTTTGATGTCAGGAATAGTGGTGCGCAATCGAATAATTGTAACGTGTTGACTCAGTGGTCATTGAGCACGCAACCATGGTTTACACCTGCTAAGGCCTCGTGTGACACTTCTGCGCAGAGCTACAGCTCTTTGTTGCAACACAACGAGTGGAGCGTCTGCCGTGTTGTGAGTGGAGTGATTACTCAAGCTTATGTGTCACAAAACAATTCTGTTCCTTGCGATATCAACTACCTCCGTGTCGAGATCACCACCAGCATTCCGCTGTTTTCAGCGTGTGACACTCAGTTCACACTGAGCGGATTTGGAAGCAACTTTGCCTATGACGCATCTGCATCCGCTTATTCAGAACAGTTCAACAATGTCAATGTCAGTCTGAACCTTGCAGGTGGAAACCTGGTTCTGTCACCAAGCATTGATGCTACTCATCCGTGGAATGCTGGTCAAGTCCACGTCCTCATGGTTAGGTTGAGGAACAAGGCTGTCAGCTCGGTTCAAGATATCCATGTCAAGAAGGATATTCTTCCCGTCCTTCCATCGGTCAAGATGAATGTCTCTAATGTGACGAATGAGAAACCGCTCTACCTAGATGTACCGGCATTAACCATCACAAGCATCTCCCAGACAAGCAAGGACCCTTGTGTCGCTGGAGTGACTCTCACTATCAACTTCCAGATCAGCGTGGGTCTCAACTCCTTGTGTAACCCAACAATCACCCTCGGAGGCCTGGACTCCAAGTTCAATCCAAGACCCGATTCAAATCAGAATGATTGGTCTGCTGTGCTTGCATCTTCAACCCCCAGGATGGCGAGCAGCCAGTACACGCTTCTTGTTCTCGTCGACAATACAGTGGACGTTTTCAACAGGACTTTGACTCTTAACGGAACCTATGGAGTCACGAGCTCGGGAGGGCTGCTGATCAAGCCAGGCTCTCGACTTGGTTATTATGGAACAGGCGTCGTCCTTTCAAACGTTCAGATCACTTCCTCTTCAGATGTCCCGTGCGATCAGAAGAACACAATTACGGTGCAATTCACTACTGGAAGTTCCTTTAAGTGTCCCGGAGAGCAGTTGATGTTCTATTTCGGGCCATGCATGTTCATTGATGCAACGGATACATTGGTTTTGTTGTCATCTTCCGACGTTGAGACCTCGGCTGTTTTCAATAATGCTGCTTTGGCGGTGACATTGCTACCCGAAGGTTTAGCAGCGAATAAGAATGTGCAATTCAGCTTCAACTCCTTCAACGATCAGTTCGATTGCTCACAGTCTAACTTCGTGCCACGCGTGGAGGCCTTAAAGGCAAAAGGATCGCAATCCTTCAATTACTCGGTAGGTTTCAGGTCGGGCTTCAGCGTGAGTACAACATACTCGCAGTCGTCAACAATCCCATGTGACTCAAACGATATCACAATCACCTTCCAAGCAACTCAGGTCATCCGGAAGAGCTGTTTGAGCAACAGTGGTCAAATCACCATCCGTGGCTTCAAGTACTCACAGACAACGTCTTTGGCAGCTTTGACTGGTACCGCAGTGACCAGCGGTATCGTGATGGCCTCGTCACTCAAATGGGATCAGAGCACCGGCACCATACTCTTCCGTTTGCTGAAAGACGTTCCTAAAGACACTCCGTATGACCTCAAATTTACCTTGATCAACCCCAGGGCAGAAAACTTTGTGGGCAGTAACGTCTATTTTGGCTTCACTTTCGAGAAAGATAATAACAATCTGACAAGCCCTGTGACTGCTGTGGCCTTGCAGACTGCCAGGGCAAATGCAACCATCTCCAAAGAAGTGATGTGGAACTTTGATTGCTCCACTGCAGAATATTACATCTATGTCAATTTTTCACAGAAAATAGTGCAAAATTGCCCTTATGAGCTCTACGTTCCGAACCTAGGAATACACAACACATCGTCCACGGACAGCCTCCCAATCTATCCTTGCACCGGTAACTCTCTCAATACTGCTCCATACGGCAAGTACTATCTGCCACGATTCCCGAATGAGTCTTCCTTGAGTGTGAATATCACATTTGCCGAGGCAAATCAACAATACTGCTTCAAGATCCTGCTGCAAAACCCATGTCCTCCCCAGCCTGCACCTGGTTTGATTTGTTACAACAATCAGACGTACTTGTTCAAATCCTCCTTCCTTATTGACTTTGGTTCCCTTAACTCCACTCAGATCAGTGCAGCTCAGATCTCGTTGGTGAACTACATGAACTCTACCCGTGGAACCATCGCGTATTTTGAGAACGTCAACACCTTGTGGTTACTTGCATCGGAGTTGTCTTTGGCCCTTACTGATTTGAACTATTTCACGAATAATTACAACCCTACATCAAACACGGTGACTACATCAAACACGGTGACTGCGGCGACAAGACGGCTTCTCGAGGAGGAACTTGAGTCCGATCTTGTGCTGGGCCTTCGAAGTCTCAGTAGGCCAATTGCGACAGCTGAGGATTTGAGCTCTTTCGACATTCGTGTAGTTGGCTCTAGCTCTACCCCTGCACTGAAAGCGACGCCGAAGGCAGTCTGCATTTTCACGTATCTTCTTGCTTCGCAGGACAATCCATACCCCTGTCACAGGAACCGCATTTCTGTGATGTTCGAAACCAGTGCAAAACTTGCAAAAGGTACCAAGTTGACCATCATGGGTCTGACGAGTGTGGTGACTCGCGATGGCGTGATGGCGGATCTCTTCGTTTCCCACGATCAAGTGCTTCCAACCTCCGGCAATTACAGCGCTGCTAGTGGTATGCTCGTCTTCGCCTTAGCTGGCGATTCCGCTCAAGATACGAGGTACACGGTTGCGTTTGACGTGATCAATCCAACCGCCGAAGGCCCTGGCAGCTCCGTTCGCTTGCTGAGAAGTGCTGCAACCTTGTACATACAGGCAGACAAGCTGTGTATCACACAAGCCATGATTCCCAACGACTACTCAACCTGTCTGAGGAGCAAGTATGGAATTCAGGGAGCTCGAGCGGGGGATGCCGCACCTTTGGTGGTCTTCCGTGGCTTCTTCAGCTACAAGAGGATCGGCCAGTCTTCTCCCTACCAGGGAGCCCAGAACACCATCACGGTCACTCTAGCTTCGACTGTTCCAATTCCACCAACTTGCAACGACCAGACCGTGAAGATCAAGATTTCCAACCTCCTGGCAACAACCAACGGCGTCGCATCTGGTCCTGTTGCTCTTACACCGATGCGCGGCAAATGCAGCGGACGTGAAAGCGATCCCTTGGCCTTCAAGAGCATCGATGGTCAAGTGGGATACGGCTCGTGGGACAACTCCAGTACTGCCTCCCTCACGCTCGTTCCTCAGATAGTCACTGTACCTGCACATGAGTATGTTATCTCCTTCCGCATGAAGAATCCCAACGGACAGCATAGCGCTCAGTCTGTTTCTATTTCCTGCGATGCCATGAACATCTCAGCTGCACCCATGGACTTCGATCAAACGCTCTCGTGCTGTTCCACTTTGTCGGCTACCAAATGCCTTCTCAGCACAGAACTGGTGGAGTACTCAAAGCCTTTCAACCTCCTCAGAGCAAAACTCTGCTACCTTAGGATGACTCAGAGCAGTACGTTCCCTTGCGGCAAAAACTGCATCAGTTTGAATTTCATTGTGAACGTTGCTTTGACAGAAGGGACTGCTTTCACAATCAGTGGACTTCCTGGACTGACATGGACAAGCTCGAATGTCAGCATTGCGGATGGTTCCGGTGGACTCAACCACCAAGACTTGTTCAAGGACAGCACGAATACAGTTGGACAAGCTCAATGGCTATCGTCATCTTCATCAAACAGTTTAACGATGTCTGTTGCCACTCCTTTGGACAGTGAGATTGAGTACAAGGTCAAATTCTGTCTTTATAACGTACCAACGCCCAGCTCGTATTCATCTGCAACGCTCAGCATCGCTGTTGGCAGCGGCATCTCGATGTCATCTATAGATACATCTATCAACCGCGTTTTTGCAGCCAAGGTAACCAGCGCAACGTTTTCGTCAACTTCATCGAAAACCTGCGATCAGAATCAGATTAGTATGACCTTGTCTCTGAATGTTCCGCTGTATGAGAGATGCCCTCTTACAATCACGCTGGCTGGTCTCGATAGAATTTATCGACCCTACGATCCGATGACAGGCCAAATGAGCAGTGATGCTGTTCTGTTCAACTCCTCCACTGCAGGAAACTCCATTACCTACTCGATGACTTCTGTCAATTTGACTTTGAGGGCACATTTTCAACCTGACGAATACAGTTCGGGCACTAGTCTCACAGAATGGAGTTACCCAATCAAGTTCAACATCAGCAATCCATCGTGTTCACGCGGAGATCCATCTCCATCTTTAACTTTGATCTATGGTGGTGTGCAAGCAATCACGAGGTTGACCCTTCAGACATCATCTGCGTTTAGGGTCAATAATGTTGGCTTCATGGCTTATGCAACATACTCTTCGGTTGATTACTGTCACCAGAATTCAATATCATTCGCAATCATTCCAAATCAAGATCTCTATCCGTTCTGCCAGGACAAGGTCAGGGTATTCAAGTTGTCTCGTATTCCAGCTCAATCTGGTTACTTGAATCAATCAGTCACGTTGGGTTACAGCACATCTACCATCATGTATTGGGACTCATCTCAGTACATGAATATCTCCCTTGATAAGTTCTCAACTTACATCCAACAGGCAGGAACGGTCTTTGTGAATTTCTCTGTGTACAATGTTGAATATGGACAAAATTCGAATCCTCGTTTGAGCTTTGACTGTGACGTTGTGAACGACATATCCATCACTTGGGGCGAGTTAGTGATTCAGAGCTACATCAAGATATCGAACCCCTTCCCTTGCGGCATCAACACCCTCACCTTCAACTTCACCTCCAACATGGACATCCTCGGCACCTGCGGCAACGACTACTCCGCCCAAGTCTACCCGACCATCACCTTGTCGGGCCTGTCCGACTTCAGCACCCCGTCGCAGAACTTCACCATGTACGCGGTGCCGTCCAGCGGTACGACAGTGACGATCACGGCGACGTGGGACAAGAGCGCGTCCAAGATGATGCTGACACCGACGGGGACTTTGAACAAGAACGTGGAGTACACGATCGAGTTCAACCTCACCAACAACGAAATGGGAGGGTCCACTGGTCGTGATCCAAGGGTACATGTCAGTAAGATGGAAGCATCAGGTTATGTTCACAATGTTCGTCGTGACTTTATCGACATCATCACTCCTGTATTCCGTTCTGTCGTCGCCAACCAGTCATCCTTCTATCCCTGCGACGACAACACCATCACCGTCGTCTTCACTAGCAACGTCCCCTACCACTGCGACACGCGCTTCTCTCTCACCGGCGCGCAGGTTGCTTCGGCCAACAGCCCGACGCTCGACGGAGAGAGCGTGGCGGTGCAGACGGACGGGACGAGCTCGTTGCAGTTCAACATCAGCGGGCGGCAGGAGATCTACCAGACCGGCTGCTCGGGCTACTGGCAGGATCTTGCATGCACGAGGGTGCTCCGGGTGCCGTACGTGAACCCTGCCAACCGTGTAGAGTCTGGCTTCTGGAAGCTGACGGCAAGAACTCCGTTCTCCTGGTCTTACAATCAGAGCGCCGTGGAGTCTGTGACCCTGTATACCAATCAACTGTATTGGGACTCATCCTTCACTTTTTCGTCCTCCCAGGCGTATCAGCGCCTCACTTTCCTCGCTCAAGTCAGATTCGTCGCTACGGCGGTCCAGAGCTCGCCGTTCCCTTGCGACAACAACACCATCGGAGTCAAGGTCACGACCAACGTGCCGCTGCGGAAGGGATGCTACCCAATGATCACCTTGAGCGGCCTCACAGGAAGCGTCACGGCCGACACGAGCTTGACCGTGACGCTGACGGGCGCTCGAGGAGGACAGCTATCGGGGGCGATCCAGGGCACTTGGATGAAGACTGATGGCAGGCTTTTGTTGAACCTGACACACTCGGTAGCATCAGCGACTTCGGATGTGTACAACGTATCCTTCAGCTTCGGGCTGAAGAACCCAGGAAGCCATGCAAGTTGCAATCCATTGTCAATGACTGTGAGTTTCGGAAACGATGCGAACAAAGCAGGTAATAGTGTTCAGCTGATCAACGATACAGCCACTGTATTCGACACTTCCACTCTGATGGATGGCACATCTGATCTACAAAATCGTATGTCTGGTACTATTTCTCTTCCAGTTGGCGCTGCTTGCCCCTTGTACATCCAAACATTCAGCTTTGTTTACTATTCAATTTATCTGAGCTCCACAAACCCCTGTGCCTCTGACACGGTGACATTGAGCTTCGCGACCACCACTCCTGTGTTTGGCCAATGTTACGATTCAACCTTCTCTACAATCTCAGTGACAGGCTTGAATGCTTTCCAGACCAATACATCCCTTGATGCTCCAGTTCTTACAGGAGTTCTGCAGGGCAGTGCGAACACTTACTGGTTGCAAGGAGACTCCTACTCCATCGAAACAAAACCTGAATACTTGGGATGGCTGAAGGCGCAGGAGGCTTACAACATCACCTTCACGAGGTTGAACAACATCAACGTTGCTACTACAAGCACTCGTCTTGCGGGATCTTCCCTCAGCACAAGTATAACCTTGAAGAGCACAACATCCTCAACAATAACCAGAACTTACAGCTTTCCTTACTTGATTGTGACATACGATGTGAAAATCTCGAACCCCTTCCCCTGCGGCATCAACACCCTCACCTTCAACTTCACCTCCAACATGGACATCCTCGGCACCTGCGGCAACGACTACTCCGCCCAAGTCTACCCGACCATCACCTTGTCGGGCCTGTCCGACTTCAGCACCCCGTCGCAGAACTTCACCATGTACGCGGTGCCGTCCAGCGGTACGACAGTGACGATCACGGCGACGTGGGACAAGAGCGCGTCCAAGATGATGCTGACACCGACGGGGACTTTGAACAAGAACGTGGAGTACACGATCGAGTTCAACCTCACCAACATTGAAAACGCATCACTGATCGTATTCCAGGGGTACAAATCGCGGCTATCTCAACACAAACCTTCAGTCGAACTAACAACAATGATCTCAACGTCATCACTCCTGTATTCCGTTCTGTCGTTGCCAACCAGTCATCGTTCTATCCCTGCGACGACAACACCATCACCGTCGTCTTCACTAGCAACGTCCCCTACCACTGCGACACGCGCTTCTCTCTCGACGGCGTAAAGGTTGCTTCGGCCAACAGCCCGACGCTCGACGGAGAGAGCGTGGCGGTGCAGACGGACGGGACGAGCTCGTTGCAGTTCAACATCAGCGGGCGGCAGGAGATCTACCAGACCGGCTGCTCGGGCTACTGGCAGGATCTTGCATGCACGAGGGTGCTCCGGGTGCCGTACGTGAACCCTGCAAGCCGTACACAGTTAAACACCTGGAAGCTGACGGCAACAAACCCGTTCGTATGGACTATGGGTGACATCACGACTACTGTATCTGATACATACCTAACCGTCAATCGAGAAATGTGGGGCTCACCCCCCCAGATCCCATCCCAGGCGTATCAGAGTCTTTCCTTCCTCGCTCAAGTCAGATTCGTCGCTACGGCGGTCCAGAGCTCGCCGTTCCCTTGCGACAACAACACCATCGGAGTCAAGGTCACGACCAACGTGCCGCTGCGGAAGGGATGCTACCCAATGATCACCTTGATCGGCCTCACAGGAAGCGACACGAATAGCACGAGCTTGACCGTGAACCTCACGGGCGCTCGAGGAGGACAGCTATCGGGGGCGATCCAGGGCACTTGGATGAAGACTGATGGCAAGCTTGAGTTGAACCTGACCGACTCGGTAGCATCAGCGACGTCGGATGTGTACAGTGTGTCTTTCAGCTTCGGGCTGAAGAACAGAGGGGAGACACGTTTATGCTACAATCCCGCGATGATCGTGGCATTCATGCAGAACTCTTACAGCGATAGTGTTGTGGTTACCAGAGCGGCTACCGTTTACAATTCGGACCTTGCTGAAACATCGTTCAGTGGCTCGTTGGTGGGAACCACCTCGTACTACCAGACTCCTCAAACGAATGATGCATGTCCGCTGTATATTCGGCAGTTCCTGGTGGAGTCATTGAATTATGTTACCAGCGACTATCCCTGCGACGACAACACTGTTACCTTCCAGTTCAGGTCAAATGTTCCCGTGATGGCCCAGTGCACGGGTTCTCAATACTCCCAGTTGAAGATCGAAGGTCTCAGCATATTCCAGTCTGGACCGGCAGTTGCGTTCAGCACAACCCCAGATGTTGCGACTGTGTCGTGGACGAACAATAACAGCATCTCCCTTACTCCTCTTGGGGGCCAATGGTTGATGGCAGCGACTTGGTACAACGTCACCTTCACCCGCAAGAATGTCCACAACTCTGCAAGGATGTATCCAACTATCAGAAGAGCAGATCAAGGTTCCACACCCGTACTACGTTATGTTCCTGGCAAAGGAAATTATCCCTACTCTGAGATAATGAAGATGGAATTTGTATCGCCCAGTATCACGAGCTCAAGTCAATATCCTTGCGACAACAACAATCTCCAGATTCAGCTACAGTTCAACATTCCTCTCCTGAAATGTCAGGACAACGGCGATAGGTGGCCGAGAATCACTCTGTCTGGTTTGAGTCCTTTCACTAGTGACACTACGGTCTTGAGTGTGTCTGCTAAAACGGCATCCAGCTCCTTCGACCAGTTTAGTGCCAATTGGACCGAATCCAGCAAGCGCATCGTGTTTGACTTCCAGCAGAACCTGGCTGTTAACACAATTCTTTACGTCAACGTTTCTGTCGTCAATTCAGACAACTGGCTGATGACTTGGTCCCCCAGGCTTACCGCAGATACAGTCGACTACTATTCAACCACAGCCATTACTACATCCCCGTACAGCGATGTGCTGATTCAACCGTATGTTCAAGGTTTCTCGTTCAGTCAGACTTCCCAGATTCCATGTGACTCAACCATTCTTGGGATTACAGTTCAGACCAATGTTCCGCTGCCTGCTCGTTGCAAGCCAGTGATGGAGTTTCGATTCGGTAAGTTACGTACGTCATTTGTTGTCGAGGGAGCCCAGTCAAGCATTGTGAGTGGTAACGTGATCAAAGCTGCTGTTTCAGGAAGTTCCTTTTTCACTTACGTGAATCTGTCCTTCACAAATCCGTCATACGCCACGTCAGACAGTCTTGTTGTCAATCCTTATTTCAACACGACAGCGACTGGATTATACTGGGTTGGAGCAGATAGCTCTATCCCTACTACTTCGATGTACACTGTGAGGACTCCAACCGTGACTGTAACTCAAGTATTCTCGTCGTACTATCCTTGTGAACAGAATATTTTGACTATCGGTCTGAGTACAGACCAAAGGATTGTGAGACAATGCAGTTCTGATTTTACGCAAGTCAGAATCACAATTAGTGCTCTGAGCTCTTGGTTTGACTTTGTGAACTCAGTTCCAGTCTCGCAAGCAGGTTCTGTGATCGCGTATGCAAACATGACAGGCAACCAGATCAACATCACCTTACAAGAAGACATTCCTCTACCGGGCTACACATTCAACCTCACTTTGCGCAATAAAGTCAGGCCGATCTTATCCACCAACAACCTGAATTTGAACTATGAATTGTATCCGATCATCGCTAACCTGGCGACCAAGGACTTTTCACAAAAGAACCCGCTGGATATGTCGAGCACGTGCCTCTACCAAGCTACACCGAACCCTGGAGTCTCCAACACATTGACGTTCAGATTCAGGATGCAAACTGCCTTGTTGACGGAGTGCAGTCCCGTGCTGAGGGTGAGTATTGGACAAGACCTGTGCGGACTCTCCTCTGCAATGGGTGACCAAAACTTTAACTTGACTTATGCTTCCTCGGACAAGACTCTGTCGTTGACCCCCATCCGCAACATTGATGGAACTACGGAGTTCAATGTTACCTTTACCAACCCCTTGACACAGCAGAATGCTCCGATGATCGCTTATTCGATGCTTCTTAACGGAGTCAGCTACTTTGCGAACCAGAGGATATATCTTTGTAGCGAGAAGTACAGCCTGGACAACTACATGGACTACAAAGCTTTGATGGTAGACAGCCCTAAATTCCTACTGGTTACTGCAAACAGCTCAGCGACAACTTTTGTTCTTCAGTTCAAGTTCAACTTCAACTTGTGCGCTAATGGATACATTATTGTTGAAGGGTTCAACTATGCCAGCACGGTGCAAGGATCGTCCACATCGAGCTCCATTCAGAGTGTACAGGCCTCGGGAGGATTGCTCACGATTGCTCTAACACCTGGACAGTGTATCCCAGCTCAGGAACTTGTGACCGTTTATCAACCGGTTACAGATGGAAGGTATCCCATCAGCTTCCTGGCCATCCGGGCCAACGGTTACATCCAGAATTCCTGCGGAGCAAAACGATTCTATGACCTCCCTCTGTTCACTGTTGACACCTCGTCCATCACAGCTACCTGGTATTCTTATTGGCAATCCCTCAAGTCCTCTGGCAACCTGCCCAGTGGGGTCAGTCTGCCAAGCGCACCTGGAAGCACCAGTGCAACAGTCTGTTCGACTTGCGTCGAGTCTCAGGCCGATTACACTTACAACATCACTCTTCAGTTCCGTTGCGATGCTAGCAAGGTCCAACGCTCCCAGCTTGAGACGGGAATCGACAGTCTGCTCTGCAAGAGTTCCACTTGCTCGGTTGTGGCTTCAAAGATAACAAGCATGTCCTATGATAACACGTATTCCCTGCTTGTTTCTCGTTCATGGTACACGGCTGATCAGGCTGCTGCATTCCTCCGCAGTATCTCGCAAGACAGCTACTTCCAATCGCAGTTTGGTGAGGGAATCTGCTTCCCCGTGATCACCACGTTCTCCCTGGGATCCGCAAACTATGATTGCGCCTCGTCTGGAGCTTGCACTGGCTTCACTCAGATCAGCTTTGGAGCCATAAGTTTTGGAGGAGCACAAGCTATCAGCTCCATGTCGTTGTATGAGCAGAGCGTGATCATGAAGTTTATCGCTGACAGCTTTGGCATGAACATGATGGACATCTCTGTTGAGTTCGCAGCTGGTGGAACCTTGTCAGTCATTTACTCGAATGCGGCCGCAGCTGCAGCTGCAGCTGCAGCCAACTCTACAGCGTCGTCGTCATCGTCCTCGTCCTCGGAAGTCTTGCTGGCCACGTCAATCGAACAGTTCAAGTCACAAGTCATCGGCGGGATCCGTAGTGCGAAGAATATCGCAAACAATGTTTCAGTGTCTTACCAGGTGGCTGTTGCTGATTTGACAACTGCGCCACTTCCGGTTCCGAGCACCTCCGGCACCTCGTCTACTACCAGCGGAACGTCGGGTGGAACATCGTCGGGTGGAACATCGTCGGGTGGAACATCAACCAGCACTTCGACATCGACTTCTCTTCCTCCCGGCACTCCACCCGGTGCTCCTTCGCCTGTCCCTGGAGGAAGCTGTGCGCCGCAGCCCCAACTGTCGTACGCGACCACCGTGGTACCAGCACCGAATGTCACTATAGCCACACCGACGACCACGGAGACTGTTGCTCCTGTTACACCCACGATCAACTTTGTGAACATCACTCAGTCGTCCTTCTACCCTTGTGAGAACAACACCATCTCGGTGTGCTTCTCCGTGAATGTGTTGATGGATAAGACGACAGCAACTGACCTCGCTGGTGAGACCGTGTCCACGTATTCCAACATCTCCATCACTGGCTTCGGAGGAGCATACATGCTCTACGACGGTGTGACCGGACCGACTGGCATTACCTTCTTATCTCGCGACTCTGATCGCTTGATTCTCAACGTGGAGAACCTTGGGAATACCACCCACCACTGCGTCTCTTTTGTGGTCAAGAACCCCGAGCTTCAGGCCTGCAAGAACCTCTCTATCAACGCGTACTGGCAGAATTTGCAAGGGAACAACACGGCAACAGCCAAGCTTGTGCCTGGAATCAGCGGAACGGTCTGTGGCAAGAATGCGAACAGCAACTTGTGCTCGTTGAACTCTGTCAGCCCCGTGTTGGACCTGTTGACTATTTCTCACTCCACTATCAACCCTTGCATGTACACTGACCTGGTTGTCAAGTTTAAGCTTAATGCTCCACTCCACGCATGTCAGCCAGGAAATGTCGTTCTGACCCTCAGTGGCCTGCAGAACACTCTCACGACAGCAACCAACAACGCAGCAACCGACATCTCATTGCTCCTCAATGGTCTCGCCGTGAACGGCAACTTGAGCACGGATGGTCTTTTGCGTCTTGACGTTCCTTCGACCATGTCTACATCAGCTGAAACCTGCACCGTGCAGAACATCACCTTCAGGTTGTTGAATTTGAACACCTCGAGGAACGGCGCCACAGTACAAGGCGACTTCTCCAAGGCCTTCCCGTCCCTCGCCGTCACGACTGCACAGAAGGAGGGCACAAATGATCCACTGGCTGTCAGCTCTGTCACCCTTCAAGTGTTGATGGCACAGAACAACTCATGGCCCGGAAGTCTCAACATGATCACTGTGACCTTGAAGTCTAACATGGTCTTGCCTGTGCAGTGCCGCACTACTTTGGTGATTAACAACTTGGACGGAGCTTGCTTCGAGAACGTGTGTGTGGGTACCGGAAACCTCACTCTCATTGGTACCAGCGCATTCAATGCTGTTTGGAAGAGTGAGCTTGTGTCGGCCTCTACAAGGTCTTCTGTCACCCTTGCAGTTGTTGGCTCTGACCTCGACACCAACATCAACCCACTCACCTTCTCCTTCATCATCAACAACCCAGTCAAGGCCCAGGGCTCCCCGAAAGTCATCGTCACAGGCCGTGGCGTTGAAGTGGTGCAACGGACGGCTGAGATGAACCTGACCTCAATCCTTCCGAACCCGTGCTCCGATGCAGACTTCATCTGCGATCACGTCGCAGGAGACGCTGCTGTTCTCAAGGTAGATGATCCGATGTTCCTCCAGACGGGTGTCGAGCAATCGAACCCCTACCCAGGAATGACCAACACGATCTCGGTGGTCCTGCGCTCGAACATCCCGTTGACCGATCGATCCATCATTACCTTGTCGGCCTTGTCTGGCAGCCAGACGCCATCTGGATCCGCTCTTGTGTTCTCCGGCGACACTTCGAACTTCGGCTCGAAGGTCTGGGACAAAGAGACTGAGAAGCTGACGTTGACGGTCAGCGGTACCATCAAGGAAGGTACCAAGTTGTCCTTCAGCTTCCAGCTCAAGAATGGAGTCTGCGGGCAGGACTCGCCATCTGTGTGCGTGAGAGTCAGCAGAATCTCGGCGCCATGTAACCGATGCGCTTACGGTCAGTGCGGACAGTGTGTGGCGATCGCTCGTCAAATGCTCCAGCGCAACAAGACGAAGATCTTCGACTACGGAATGGCCCAGTGCAACTATACCAATTATGACCCGTCAGCAACAGTCCAGTACGGGAGGGCGTACGCAGAAGATTCTTATCCTCTCCGAATCTTCTCTCCTGCATTCATCATGCTCAAAGACTCCATCGGCCAGAGCACTTTCTCGCCAGCAATGAACAACACGATCTCGGTGACCCTGGCGTTGAACACCGCCTTGTTGGCCAACCAGCAGATCACACTCCACGGTCTCAATTATGGCTCAGGCACCATGAACGTCGCCATTGAGAATGTAAGCTCTATCGTGGAGTCGGACTGCTATGGATCTGCTGCAGTCTTCAAACCTACAGGTTCGTACCAGAATGGGCAGTTGGTCATCACTGCGCAGTCCCAGACTGTGCCGGGCAAGAAGTATGCCTTCCAGTTCACTTTGCTCAACCCAACTTGCAATCAGTCCATGTCAACCGTGTGGGTCGACGGAAGTTGCGCGCCCCGCATGGATCTGAATGCAACCGTGGGATCGGAGCCGAACTACGTGAGGCAACCGATGTTCATGGAGTCGTACATCTGGCAGGAGACTCCTTTGCCGTCCGTTAGCAACGTGATCCACGTGAACTTCTCTTCGAATGTCGACATTCCTAGCGGCAAGACATTGACAATCAACGGCTTGTACCGCACCATGACGCCCCAGTCATCCCTTGCGCTGTCTTCCAACTATCAGGTGGAGAGCTGGAGCAACGGCAGGCTCGTGATCAGGACCACCACAACTCTGGATCGCTCGACGTACCATCACTTCACCTTCACTCTGATGAATCCAGATTGCTGCCAAGATCCGACCGATGTCATCACGCTGTCTGCAGGCTACGCATGCTTCAGTCCGATTAACCTTGTCAAACGGCAGTCTAAGACCCTCCTCTCGAACATCAAGGATGGAGCCGATGTCGAGTCGAAGCCTCTCTACGTTCGTTGCGCGCAGTTTGACGTTGCCCAGATCTCATCAGACACTGACATGCCCTGTGTTGACGCCAACATCACGGTCACGATCAAGATTAACGTCGCTCTTACCTCTGCCAACAACATCTCCTTCACCATCCGCGGACTCGCCAACACCCTCACAACGGTGCCACCCCCGGGTGCAGCAACGACTGTGAACAACACCAACATCACGATCCCTCCCAAGCTGACCAACATCACCATGCTCAACATCAGTTCCAACGGAGTCTTCGAGAGCCCTGCAGCATTCAACACGGTGACCGGTGAGCTGGTGTTGGTTGTGGTGCAGGATGTTGGTTACTCCGAAACTGTATCCGCCTCCTTTGTGCTGATCAATCCAAAGAAACCAGGAGCTTCCTCGTTCGAGATCGTTCCCCAGCATGTCTGCAACCTCACCAAATCTAGTCTCACGGCTGCCAACCCCGTGCTAAATGTCGCGCAAGGTTACTTCATGAGGGTGTATGCATCGCAGATAACTGAAGTTCCCTGCGCTGCCAACACCATCACTGTCACATTCAAATCCAGTGTACAGCTCTCTGGCTCGAAGTATCACTGCAACACCAAGATCTACATGTACGGGTTGGACGGGGCTTGTGTCAACGGTACAGATGTCTCGGGAGTGAACGGCACAATTCTCCCACAGAAGGAGCTGACTATCGCCGGGGCTGGTGCTAGCAAGATCAGCTCGATGCTCTTCTACCCTGACACCAGGATGTTCACTCTGCAACTCACTGGAGATGTGATGGCGAAGGAAGAAATCGTGTTCTCGTTCGATGTCAAGAATCCCCCGTACGCACAGACTGCTCCAGACATCTACATGAATTCCACTGACGTCGACATCTCTACCGTCAAGATCTCAAGGCCCAGCGACTCACAGATCACCAACTATGCCCAGGATCCGCTTGATGTCAAGGTACCAAAGTTCACCAAGAAGACCATCGGACAGTCAACGGCTTATCCGGGAGCTCAGAACGTCCTGACGGTGACTCTCCAGGCTAACGTGGACCTCGAGCCAGGCAGCGTCATCATCTTGGCCTCCTTCGGCAAAGCCAACGCCACTGACGGTACCTTGGCTCTCTCCAACGTCGGCGACTTGAACTCCACGTCATATTTCTCCGACCGTGTTGGTGGTACCGCTAACCAGGCGCTCTGGAATGAACTTGACAAGAACCTCAAGCTGTTTGTCTTGACGAAGATTCCCAGTGGCACGGACCTGAAGTTCAAGTTCACCCTGACCAACCCAACCTGCCGTCAAAACGCTGCTAAGATTTGCGTGCGTGCCCGTGCGGTGTGCACGTGTGACCAGAACCTTGTGATCGCAAGGAGAATCATGGACCAGGACACGCAGAACAGCGGGGACTGCAACTCTCGTCTTGGAGATGCCGCCCCCTTGTTGATCAGACCATCCAACATCTTGAACGCAACGATCCAACAGAGTTCACACTACCCACTGAAGAGCAACAGCATCACAATCTCTTTCTACCTCCAGGCCACCATCAGAGCATCTCAGAAGCTCCGTATTACCAACTTGAAACAAGCTCTGGCTCCCGACGCTCCGCTCCCATCATCACTCACGTTGGGTGGTAGCAGTGTCTCTGGTGCATCTTGGAGTGCCAACGACCTTTTGGTTCCGGTCGCCTCTGATCTAGCCTCTTGCACCAGCCATACCATCACGTTCACGGTCACCAACGGCAAGTGCTACAAGGACGCGATACCGCTCAACATCTCACTCGTCGATTCCTGCGAGCCTCAGACTCCGTTGCAGCCTCAGCAGTTGCAAGAATGCGGACTCATCTCCACTCCATTCCAGGTCCACGGCAGCTGCGACAGCTTGTCAACTACAGCCAAGTTCACGACGTACAATGTGTCCCAGTCGTCTTCCTACCCTGGCTGCGCGAATGTTATCACTGTGAGCTTCCAGACTACTGTCCCCATCCTGGTCTCAGCTGGTCAGAGGCTGGAGCTCTCGTTGAACTTCGACAAGTTCTGCTTCCAGGACATCACCTGGAACATGTCTGGTGATCCCAACATTGGCAGAGTCACATTGGACAACGCTGCCTTCTCTAGCAACGAGGCTTACTGGTACAAGTCCAGCATGAAGATGATACTGAACATCACGCAAGACATCGATGCTTGCACCATGTACAACTTCTCCTTCACCATCATCAACAACTACACGGCGTCCCAGGCCCAGACGATCCAAATGAGGACCTTGGGCGAGGTCACCCTACCCTCGGTCAACCTGCTTTCCCCTGCTGACAAGATCTCCAGCCTCCCGAGCTCGGAGGCTGGAGATCGTGCACCGTTCAAGGTCTTGAGCCCCGTTTTCATCACCAAGAAGATCAATCAGAACAATCCCCACCCAGGCGCGGACAACACGATCAATGTAACTTTCGCCGTGTCCGGAAAGCTCAGCAACGGCACTCGAATCTACATCTCGAACCTTGATGGGGCTGTGGCAGCGGATGGCGATATCACCTTGTCAGGAGACAGCGCTTCCTACTTCAACAGCCTCCCGGGAACTTCCAGCAAGGGTACCTGGGTGAACTGTGAGAAGGTGCTGATCCTCGTGCTGAATCGTGACGTGTGTGATGGCACCGACCTCAAGATTTCCTTTAAAGTGAAGAACCCTGTCGACCCTCAGGTGTGTGTCGATGCCAAGATCAACGCCACGGGCATCAGAAACTGCCAGGGCGCCATGTTCAACATCGGCTCTACCATGATGGACAAGGATACCTCAGAGCTCACGACCATCTCTGGCGCTGGTTACGGAGACGCCTGCGCGCTTGTTGTCTGGCCAGCAGCGTTCTGTGTCAAGAGCATTGGTCAGTCGTCCTCCACTCCTTGCGAAGTCAACACCATCACCGTCACTATCGCCACCAACGTTCCATTCCCCAGCTCCATCACCTGGCCCGATGGCAGCCCTATGACTTACCCGAGCATCAGGCTCCTCGGGTTCTCGGGCGCGAGAGTGAGCAGCACCAACGGAATGATCGACGTTGCTGGCGCTTCCTCCTCGACGTTCCGTGGGTCTAAGACTAGCAATGACGCCAAGGCCTTTGTCGAGACCATCGGGGCGAAGTTGGCCGTGACGGTCTACATCGCTAGCAACGACTGCTGCCAGCCCAACTCCAACAAAACCTCGTTTGTCTTCACGTTCGACGTTATCAACCCTAAGGTGAAGCCGGCGATCCTGGAGGCAGTTAGCATCGAAGCTACCGGCATCCCCATCATCATCAGCTCCATGAACGATGTGTTGGATAGCAGGCCAATGAACATCCAGTCGCCCGCCTTCTCCGTCAACACCATCACGCAGAGCTCGAGCTACCCTTGCGCTAGCAACACCATCACCGTCCAGTTCTCGCTCACTAAGCCGATTGGAACATCTTGCTCGGACTTGAGGCTCATCATCAGCAACGTGGGCATCCCATCCCAGCCCCTCCCGTCCGTTACCGCAGGGTCAAGCTTCCTTGCTGCACCGGATTGGAAGGTCAACGTGTCTAACGGCTACTGGAACAACGCGTCGGTGGAGTTCAAGCTGAATTCCTTGGATGCTTCGACCACCGTCACCATCCAGTTCCAGCTGACCAACTCGCACATCCCAGCAGTCAACCACCTGATCCGCAACATCAGCATCCCAGGAGTCGTCAAGGACTCTCCAGCTCTGCAGGTTTCCACCGGCCACAACCCATTGACCGTAGTCGCGCCTGAGTTCATGGACAGCAACTCCGTCCAGACCGTGCCTTACCCCTCGACCCCGAACACCATTAGCATCTCTCTGAGGGCGAACGTGCTGCTCGGAACCGCTTGCAAGACCACGATCACGATCGCTGGTTTCACAGGTATCTGCATCACCGACGTTCCTAACAGCGTGACTGTGAACATCCCGAGCGTGTCTGACAGCAACGTGACCAAGCGCTGGGATTCCACCACCTCATCGCTGGTTGTTGAAATCGACGCTCGCTCGACCGTGACAGGAAGTGACAACATGAATGTTAGCATCTCGGTCACCAACCCGTCATCCTCCCAGCCCGCCCCATCGCTCACCGTCTCTGGTGCGATCGTGCCAACTTCCGGGGTTCCTACTCAGTACAGTCCGTCCCCTTACAAGTTGAAGCAGAACGCGGCCGGAGTCATCCCCAGCGCCGTGGTGTACGCGGGTACAGCACAGGATGGCGTTCCTCTCGAAGTCCGCGGCTCTGCCAGCTTTGTAACCAAGACCATCTCACAGTCGTCCGCAGAGCCTGGAGGCTCCAACGTCATCACCGTCACCTTCCAGACCAGCGTTCCTCTCACTCAGAGCTCTCTCATCACTCTCAGTGGCTTCAAACCCCTTGGAACCGTCAGCCTCACTGCAACTGGCTTCGATCTTGACAGCTCGAGCACCAACACTAGTGTAGTGATCAAGAGGAGCTCTGGTTCAGGAGCAACGGTTGCTGGTACTAACTACACTCTGCAACTGGGCGTGACCAATCCCACCAAGCATACGCTCAGCCCCGTCATCTACATCGAGACCAGCGAGATTGCAACCATTCGATCGCCGTTGGACGTCATCCGCGTACCTACCAACATCACGGATATGCAAGGCAACAGTGTCACGGCACCGCTCAACTACTCCGATCCTCAGTTCGTGGACCATCCGCGCCTGTACCTCGGTTTGGGCTATCAGGACTCCGCTGGCACCCCCAACAACGTTCAGCCCTTCTCGATCGATTTCAAGAGCAACATCGATATCGCGTCCACCACGGCCAACCCAGTCTACGTGGTTGTGTACCCCATCGTGGGAGTCAAGTCGCTTGTCAGTGTAGCGGGCGATGCAGTTGAGAACTGCACTTCCTGCTCCGCTAGTCTCGCTGAGCTCAAGGACACAGAGCTCAGGATGAAAGTCAAGTCCATCACCAAGGACAGCACCAACACCATCACCGTCCAGGTCAAGAACGGCATGCAAGCGCAGGACGGACAGGCTCTTAGCTTGAAGATCGTGTCTCCAACCCAGGACTTGGACTTCTTCCCCATCCCTCTCGGCAAGAAGACGGACAAGATCCTGCCGTTGGCGATCAAGCCCAGCGTCTCCTTCACCACCAAGAGCATCGGCATCCTCTCTGCCAACACTCCGCCGGGCGCCACCAACACCATCAGCGTGACCGTGCAGCCGGCGTACCCGCTCTTGGGAGACGACATGTCTGAGATCACCATCAGTGGTCTGGTCGGTGCCTACAACGAGGACGGCCTCCTCCCGCTTTTGAAGGGAACCCCAACCTTCAAGTCCAACGCTCGTTGGAGTAAGAACAGCGGCACCGTCGTTGTGTCCGTGGCTGCCGGCAAGACCGTGTCGAGCACCAACACCACCGAGTTCTCCTTCGACCTCATGAGCCCCATGTACGAACAGGATGGCACCAACAAGGTCTACATCTCAGCGTCTGGCAGCAACCCGTACAGCCTGAGCGACATGACCGTCGCCTCGAACCTGTACTTCTTCAAGGTCGTCAGCGCTAGCTTCAGCACCAAAACCATCTCTCCCGGCAACTCGGCTCCTGGCGAGTCCAATATCCTCACCATCAACCTCGCGGTCAGCAACACCGTGCTTGACCTCTACCGCCGCTCGGTCATCACCATCGAGGGCTTGACTGGCACGCAGACCGCTGACTCAGACTTGCTGGACATCACGCCCACCAACAGCAGCACTTACCTCTACTCTCCTGCCTCCGTTGTGCTCGTCGTGCCAGACGCCAGCTGCAGCTCCAAGTTCAGGTTGAACTCCACCAGCACGACTTACACGGCCGGCATCACCAACAAGACCATCATCTTCCTCAACGGCACGTGCATGGGCAAGACAGCTTCTGTCAGCAGCTTCACCTCCGACTCTTGCGTGTCGATCACCCTCGACGACGCCACTGCCATGTCCACCTGCGTCAAGAAGGGAGACATGCAGCCAGTCGGCAGGGTCTCGACGGCACAATGGACGCGAGCTAGCGGCAAGCTTGTGATGGGAGTCGGCAGCACCATCGACTCCACATCGACTGAGTTCAAGGTGACGGTCAAAAACCCGGTGCTGGCGCAACCTGCCGCTCAGGTCGTCGTCATGGCCGGAGGAAAGAACACCATCCCTGCCGAGCTCATGAGCGGACAGGTTCTCCAGATCACCCGGGCCTCCAGCGGCAGCCGCGTTGTTACCAGCTGCACGTGCACTGGTGGTTCTTCATGCAGCTGCACAGGCGCCTTCTCCGGCCTCTCGTCAGGGTAAGAACTCCCTCCCACCTCTTCTCCACTCCTCCCTTCCTATCAGTGCCCTCTCAATCCCTCCTTCCTTTCTTTCCTCTCCTCAGTCACTGCTTGTTGTCCCTGTCCTCTAGTCTGACGTTGTGTGCAGGACAAAGAGCTTGACTGTGGAGGTTCAGTGCAACAACCTGAAGAAGATCAGCAGCATTACTGCAGGAGGTTCGACTATCTCTTCCAGTGCCATCCTTGCGATCCCCTCAACCTGCAAGGACGCTTGCGACGTCTACCAGAGTGTCCTCTCCGACCAGGCAGTGACTGTCAGCGGCGACACGTTCAACGTCGTCGTGGCGGCCGAGTACAACGCGGCCGACTACTGCAACGCAGGCAGCCAGTTCAAGGCGATCTTCTATCTACAGTGAGTGCACATGGTCGCCTCTAATATTTAATCGTAACAGTTTGTAATGAAGCAAACTTGAATCTACACCACTGATGTTGTTGTTCCACCTGCCTCTCAACCCTCTCTGCTTGCGCCCAGGCTCTTAGTACGGGCCGTTCACGACCCTCCAAGGCTGCTCCTGACCCCCGGGCCCCGGCTCCTCGCTTCCTTCAAAACTTCCGGCATTCCGGGGGGGCCGGGGGCCCGGGAGGCCGCGGCCGCTCCCGTATCCACTGGTTCGATCTCGGCGTGTCACAGGCTTCAAAGCTTTCAAGCCCTTGCGCTCTCCTAACAGCCGCTGTGCGGCTCCCGGTGGCACCTCCATGGCAGTACGGTCCGACTCCGACGGCGACTCGCCCGGCCGGACCGTACTCCGGGAGAGTCACTACGCCGGGCCCCCGTTGAACTTCGGAACTGGGCCCTGCGCGGCGATGGCAATCACTCACCGTGGCTGAGTCAGGAAATCACGACCGGGCCCGGCTATGTCGGAGACACACCCGTCCGAGGTCTGATCCGGGACTCAGCCGAGTCCGATCAGTCGGACTCTCGGAGGCCCGCAGCCCGGCGGCCGCCGGCCTCGGCGGCGCGGCCGGGCCCCGGCTGCCACCGTACCGTTCACGGTTGGCAAGGCGTTGGGGCTACCCTCGCCGCACTACCGCACTACGCCACGGTCACAGTGACAATGCCACCGAGTAAGGGCCCGGTGAGGGCCCGGGCTGCCAGGTCCGGGCCGACGGTCCCTGCTCGGTCGCGGCCGCGACCCGGTGACCGGGTGCGAAGTTCACTGAGATCTACTGAGAGTCGGAACACACCCGTTCTTTTACCTTCAAGTACCCTACCCTATCTCTATTGCACTAACCCCTCCAATCGATTGTAAAAAGTACCGGTGGTTGGGGATCGCATGAGAGGAGAAGATGGGAGAGGGAGAGGGAGAGGGAGAGGGCGAGGGCGAGGGCGAGGGCGAGGGCGAGGGCGAGGGCGAGGGAGAGGGAGAGGGAGAGGGAGAGGGAGAGGGAGGAGGACGTAGAAACAGGGCACATGAGGGTATGGACCCATGTGGGATGGCACTGGTATAGGTAGGACGATGAAGGGTGCTGACCTCGATGTTGTAGCAGAGCCATGCCGCGCTACTACTGCGATTACTGCGATGTATTCCTTACGCATGACTCCCCGTCCGTGAGGAAGCAGCACAACAGCGGGCGCAAGCACAGGGACAATGTGAGCATGAGCTCTTGGGGTGCGGGAGGTGACCGGGAGCAGGTGCGCGACTACTACGGGCAGTTTGTGAGCAAGCAAGCACAGAGCGTGATCGACTCGATCATCTCACGACGTGAGGGAGGGAGGAGGCTGGTCTTGACTCGTTGCTGATGTGACGGCAGGTATGGGAGAAGGAGGTATCCACGGGTTCGACCTATCAAGCTTCAACCCCAACGTACGTCTTCCTGCCCCTGCCCCTGCCCCTGCCCCTGCCCCTGCCCCTGCCCCTGCCCCTGCTCCTGCTCCTGCTCCTGCCCCTGCCCCTGCCCCTGCCCCTGCCCCTGCTCCTGCTCCTGCTCCTGCTCCATCTCTTTCTCGTCCTCTTATCTTGATTGCAGGCTCCAGGAATGTTCGGCCCTGGTGGTCCCTACGGCTTCCCCAAGCCTGGCATGGGACCTCCTCCTCCTCACATGCCCCCGCCCATGGGCATGCATCCTCCTCCAGGACAACCACCGGTAACTCCCATGCCCCTGCCCCTGCCCCTGCCCCTGCCCTGCCCCTGCTGCTTCTCCTTCTCCTTCTCCTTCTCCTTCTCCTGCTCCTGCTCCTGCTCCTGCTCCTGCTCCTGCTCCTGCACTTGCTCCTGCTCCTGCTCTTGCCCCAGCTCCTGCTCTTGCCCTAGCTCCTGCTCTTGCCCTAGCTCCTGCTCCAGCTCCTGCTGCCTCCCCCGGCCCGCTGTTGTTTCCATCTCTCTTACAAGGTGTTGTTTTAACAGGGCTACCCGCCTGGAATGGTGAATCCCGTCCTCCTTTTATCACCCTCCTCCCCTGACCTCGTTCCATCCCTTCCCCTCCCCTGTTGTCCCTCCACTCCTTCGCTCCATGTCATGAATTCACTCCAGCTTCCTGTTTCCCCTTCCTCATCGTCGACAGCTATTCTTCGCTTCTTTTGCTTCCTCTTCCTCCTCTTCCTCCTCTTCTCTGCTTCTCCCCTCCTCCCCTAGTCATCTGCTGATCTCGCCTGCAGCCTCCCCCCGGTGGTCCCCCCCCCGGTGGCCCTCCTCCTCCTGGAGCTCACTGGGGCCCTCCACCGGTAGCTTCTTGTTTGAGGATGGACAAGAAATTGATGATGATGATGATGATGAAATGATGAATGATGATGATGAAATGATGATGATCATGATGATGATGATGATGATGATGATGAAGATGAAATGATGATGATGATGATGATGATGATGATGTCGTGGTTGTTGTTGTTGTTGATGATGACGATGATGATGATGATGGTGGTGGTGATGGTGATTTACGGATGGATGCAACGATGGAGACGATCGCCCACATGGTTGTTGACGTTCTGCAGGGGATGGGAAGAGGTTTCCCCCCTCATGGTGGGCCTCCGCCTAGTTGGGCTCATCCACCTCCGGTGAGTCAGACTGCTGCAGCCAGGGCTGTACAGCTCACTTCACGTGACTCAGGGCAACCCTCCTCCTCACAGCGGTCCTCCTCACTAGCCGATGCTGGTCCCACACACTAGCGGCGGCGGCGGCGGCGGCAACAGCAGCAGCGGCAGCAGCAGCAGCAGCAGCAGAAGTAGTCTCCTTCATCTCCTTGCTTGTTCCCTTCACACCCGCATTTGTACTCCTTAATTACAGAAGGTTTCTCTCCTCCTCCTCCTCCTCTCCCACCTGCCTCCTTCCCCCCCCCCCCCCGCTACTCCACCAGCTCCTGCCGCTCACTCCGGAGGCCTCCCGTACGCTGTTCAGTCGAAGCTGGAGGACCTGAGCATCTTGCCGACAGCTGTTGAGGTTGGACGAGCTCGCGGGGAGGAGGCGCACATCTGAGAGGAGAGGACGCTGAGCTTGCGGGTGAGAGTCTTGGACTC